CCCAGATAACTCAAAAATTAACCTAAGCTCTGTAGATCAATTGGAAACTCCATTGTGCTTAGTGGCCTCCAAGTTCACAACAAGAAAAAAGGATAAATCAGACTTTAAAGACAGTAATAACTAAGATGGCCTTTAAGCTGGCAAAAACTGGGTGAGTCTCCTTCCTTTTGTTCTTTTGCATGCACGATGTACCCCTTATGTTGCAGGTATTTCCCCTTTCGAGGCTTTATATGAGAGACCTCCTCCTCTTATCCTTACGATTTCTAAGAAAAAAATTAGCTGATTTAGCCAATCAAGATCTTATTAAGTCCTCCCCAGACTTTTCAGCCAACATTCTTCCACCTGCTGCCCACTGCGAGGACAAATGCCCTGCTGTGGAGCCTGGGACACCGGTCCTTATCAAGAGGCATTACCATGAGTCTCTTGAGCCACAATAAGCCTGCTTGGATTCATCATTCCCACTTCAAGCAGGTTCTGGCTTCCAAAAGTGATCAACCTACAGATAAGTGGACTGTCATTCCCTCCAAGGACTTTTTAAAGCTTAATATTGCCAAATGTAACTGATAATCTTGTGTTCTCCCTCATGGAGACACCAAAGAGGCCTCTGTCTGGCTTTAAAAAAAAACTGTTACTTATATGACAGAACAGAGTAAATTTAAATGTTGGTTTTCTTTCTCCTTTTGGTTGCCAGCTTTAATAATGACAGCTGCAAGACCTTTGTTAATCCTCCTATTGGGCCTTGTATTGTAAACAAGTTGATAAACTATTTCAAAGATCTTAGAGCTTATGATTTTAAAGATGCAAGGTTATAAACAGAAACCTCACAAGCCAATGATTTGGCTCATGGACTAAAATCAGTGGGGAATGTTGTACACTAGCAAAAGGAGCTTTGTTATATTTGTATTATATCAAAATACCTGTAATATGGCCTACTGTTTATATGCATGTTTCTTTTCCTCTGGGTGACCTAATTGATATGTTAATCAATGCTCTCCTCTGTAAAGAATTATAAAACCTAACCTAATTGATATGTTAACCATTGTTGCCCTCTATAAATAACAGATGTGGTGCTAAAATAAGCTAACAAAGGTTGTTAATTATTGCTAGAATACTCTATCCTCTGCTAAGGAAAACAAAGGTCTTCCTCATTAACAGTTTTCCCGATCCACGCCCACAACCCCCTTACTTTGTAAATTGTGATATGTACTTACAGGTGGCAAATATAGAGGAGCAACACACACAGCCTTTGCAATCTCCAGCTGCACTGTGTCTCTGGGCCCAGGATAAAATAAATCAGCGCTGCTTTTTAAAATATGTTTTCGCTTCATTTTTTAAACTCAAGTTTGAGGGCTCATTTGTGGATTACAAGAATTGGATCATGAGGGTATTAATCTGTGGATTCATTCACTAAGTTCCCTAGCTAAACATGCTTCTAATAGGTAAGCTCTGGTTAGAGGTGGGTCACTAGGTGTATGATCTGGTAAAATATATTTGTTGTCCCCACTTCTTTTCTTTTTGGCTGCCATGGATTGAATAGTATTTTTCTACTATGCCTTTTATCATGTACTTTTGCCTTGCAGCTAGTCAACCATGGCCTACAAAAATGAGCCAAATTACAATCTCCTCCTTTAAGCTATGGGTAGTGGGTATTTTGTCCCATCAACACTAAAGTAACTAAGGTGGATACTATTACCAGTAATGGGACATTATTATAACTATACTTTACCATGTGGTTGAAAAGCCTTTGAAACTGGTTTGTCAGACAAGTTAGAAAAGGTTTGGAGATCCCAGCTCAAGAAACCTTAAAATTCTGTAAGCAAAATATAGGTGGGATATTCAGGTCAGAGCTCAGAAAACTAAAAAGTTAATAGGAATGTAGACAAAAAAGGCCAGGCTCAGGAGTTTTTAGTTATGAACAAGAACTCCATTGGTAGTTGGATTAGAGGTTGTGTGTCACACTCATTGGAAGAAAATGTGTACGTTTTGCCTATGTACTGAGACTTTGCAGGAAACTGGGGTTAAAGACAGTGGATAATCTGATGGAGGAAATTTCAAAGCAACCCAGTGTTCATATTGCTGGCTGCCTTTTAGGGAGATCTACAATAGCATCAGGAGGAAAAGATAGATTAAAGAGTTTTCAGCTTCTTTGGAAAGGAACTACTTGCAAAGTTGGGCAAAAGAGAATATGACGAGATTAACATTACAAAGAAGCCAAGTACTTTGTATTAGGACAATAGGAAAGATGGCTTGAGGGCATGTGAGGAACCCAAAAGGCCCCACCCTTTGCAGGCTTAAGGGTACAAAAACTATAAATCTTTCATTTGAGAAGAGAGCCCCAGGTCTCTTTCTGGAAAAGTGCTACCCAAGGATTGGTCCATGTAATAACTCGGAGCCCAGAATAAAATCCAAGGAAGCAAGAAATTAAATTTGGGTAGCAAAGGCTTTATTTGAGCCAGTCCTGGCAGCACAATCTCTCCTGGCTCAATCCAAAGACTGCGCACCCCCAAGACCAGGAAAAGGGGTTTTTAAAAGTAAGAAAAGTGGGGGAGAACAAAGGAAATCCACAAGGCCATTAAACTTGTTGACCTGCATCTGGAAACTGTATTGCTGTCCACTTAGCTCTGATAACCTCAGGAGTTTCTGGTGTTTTTCAAGTTACTCCCATCCTGCAGATTAATGTTATCTTGGAATGGCACATCTGCAACAATATTTGGAGAAGACAGTGGAGAGTTAATTATCCTGGGACAGCTCTTTTCACTAGTAGGTGCGAAGGGGTCAAGAGTTACAAGAAGCTGAAACTTAAGTTTTACAAAAATCTGATATCTAACCCATTTGATGCAAACAGAACAAAAGGAGAGCATTGATTGGGGTTTGAGCCATAATATTTCCCTGTAATTTCTTTGAAATCAAGCAGTTCTTAAAAACAGAGCAGGCTCATTTTATGACAGACCATCACCGGGTCGGGAAGAGGTCACCAGAAACCCAAAATCTTTATGGCCTAAGGTGAGGGGAGAGGGGAGGCAATAAGGTGCGCTACAGAACAGGAAAATGGCGGTTATGTTTTTCTTCCTTTCTGGGGAGAGGGATCAAGGTCAGGTAAAGGGTTAAGCTAATACGCAAATCTCCCTGCACACAAGCAAGTTACTTCAAACAAGTGTAAATTAGAGGGTCATCCTAGTTTTCTTTAGCTCTTTAGCAGAGAATAGAGGCGCCTAACAGTGATTAACAACCCTTGTTAGCTTGTTTTAGCACCACTTTTTGTTTATAGAGGGCAACTCTGGTTAACATATCAATTAGGTGAGATTTTTGCAATTCTTTACAGAGGAGAGCATTGCTTAACATATCAATTAGGTCACTGGGAGGGAAAAAGGATAAAAAAAACCACAATTAGTAAGCTGCCTTAAGGTTTGATATAATACACAAATAACGAAGCTCTTTTCTTAGAGTACAACAGTCCACAGGATTTGTTTCACAGTATTCAGCCATCTATGCACACAAAGGCCTCTTAAGCCATGGCCCAAGAGGACGTGGAAACTGCTCAAGTATCATTCATTTGGTGTTGGCTTTACAGGCATGCAGAACGCAATAGTTATGAGGCCATGGAAACTTCCACCCAGATTTCAGGAGGTCTGGGAGGCAGACATTGTGTTCCTGCAAGGGCAGTGCATGAAGCTGTGAGAGTGAAGCAAAAGTGCAGGGGAGACTCCAGGAAGTTGAAAAAGCTAGGAACATCGAACATCTAAAGAAGCCCAAAAGCAGTGACTAAAGGCAGGCCAAGAGAGAGGCCATTAAGATTTCAATGACAAATGCCTCAGAGACAGGACTTCCTAAGCCTCTTTGGACTTTGAATCTCACTACAATTTGTGCAGGGTGCTGCACGTGGATTTGATGTTTGGCCTGTTGGGTTTCTGTCTTGCTTTGGTTCCATTCCTTTCTTCCTCATATTTCTCCCTTTTGGAATGGTAATATTAACCCTGTATCTTATTTTCACATAGGTTCTCAGCTAAGAGTTCGCCTTGAGTCTCAGATGAGACTTTGAACTTGGACATTTTAGAAATGCTGAAACTGTTAAAATCTCATGATTCTTAGACAAGGACTAAATATACTGTATGTAAAGAAATAAACCTTTCAAAACCCAGGGGAGGAGCTGTAACTGGAACTGTAAATTGGAACTCTGAATGGCTACCTGCACTTCTCCACAGCCCAGATGAACAAAATACTTGTATATAACACTGGCACCAGAAAGTCAAGCACAATTTCATTCTCTTAGGTGAAAGGAGAGAAGGGTCCAGCAAGAGATGGAAGAAGCCTGAACATGCCTGTTGTTCCACTGTATTGCTTCCCCCACTGCTCCTCACTATAAGACTCCAACACATGTACATGGTGAGACAATGATTTGAAGCACACGAGCCCCTTTATCTTCTCAGAACTAGCTTTAAATAAATTTTTTTTCCTTTTTACCAAAACAAATGACCTCTTTTGATTTGGTCAGGGGCAACCAAGCAAACCTGAGCATATGAACCCAAGTGGCCAATAATAGAGTATTATGATTTAGATCTAAAATTGCTCCAGAACCCTCATACGTTTGGATCATGAGGATGCTATACTAATCAGTGGATACTCATCAATTCAGTAGCTAACTGTGCTACTAGGAAGTAAGGCCTCATTGGTGGTGGGTCACTAGAGGCATATCCTAGAAATGTACATATAATTGTCTCCAGGTCCACCCTTCTCTCCCTGCTTCCTGGCTTCCACGAATTGAACAGCTTTCCTCTGCTGTGTTATTTCTGTCTTGGAGTCAGCCAACCATAGACTGAAACCATGAGCCAAAATAAACCTTTCTTGTTTTAAGTTATAGGTATTGGGTATTTTGTCCCAGCAACAGGCAAGTGATTAAGACAGTTCAAAGGTTGCAAGGAGGAATAGGAATAAGCACTGTAGTTAGCTTTCTGCTTCTGTATCTGAGGTCTAGGTAGCTATTAGGTAAGAAAGACCATATATATAATAATAATGTTTTATTTTGTTAATGCCACAAACATGAGCTGAATTCTGAAACAACATAAATTTTCAGTATATGAAAATAGCCTTATTTTGGACTATTGGACAGGGTATCAGTGCTGGTAGAAAATCATGTGATAGCTCCCAAAAGTAATTTTTCCAAGAAGATAAGATTCATTCAGATTTAGATTACAAGTTCAGGGGTAGCCTGTACAACACAATGAGTCCAATTCCAAAGAAACCAAACCTAACCAAACAACCGCAAAAAATAGTATCAAGTTAAACTGTATCTTTTCCATGGAAACAAAGCTCCATAGATGGAGAGGGGAAGAGCAGTTGAAGGAAGGATAAGGGAATGGGGGAAGAAACACCAAGTTATATCATGTACATGTACAAATTCCCTATGATGAATGTGATCATTACGTATATCTGAAATGTACCAATAAAGTCTAACTGAAGTGAAAAAAAAATAAATTGTATCTTTTTTATGGTGAAAAACTAGTCATATTACATAGACTCCAGTGAAGAGGGTGTGGGAGATAAAGCTCTCCTCTTGGCTGTGGAACCACCTACCAGCATAAACCCCGTTTTCTCACTGGCAAAATCATGGTGGTTTTTCAGATCCCTTCTAGCTGTGGCATTCTAGTATGCTGTGAGAATCGAAGTACACAGTACATATTCAAGGTCTGAAGTTAACAAAGATTTTTAATAGACTTAGAGGCCTGATAAGATGATAATAGTAATTGAATAACTTTGTTTCTCAAAATTTATATGTTGGGACCATTTACTAAAAACAAAACAGAACAAAAAACCTGTTTACTCTAGATAAGGATTTCTTTCCATTGGCTAGATGTTTTTGGGTGCTCCCCTTGTGTGGTGATTTAACTGCACTGCTGGCATCTGCCCACTAGATGGCAGTCCTCTTCAACTGTGACCCATGAAAATGTTTCTAAACACAGCAAAAAACTCCCAAGGGCAAATGCCCAGTTGAGAACTAATGCAGTATTAAAGACAGACATAAACTTTATTTCTCGTTTTCTTCATTTTGGGTAGAAAACTAAAAAAATTCATGAAAAAGTCTATAATCAAAGCCTTAAACAGTTAAGGGCTGTCTTAACTATCATTTCCTACCTTTAATCAACTCACTATTCCTCTTCAGAGGATAAAAAGTTACTCATATTAAGCACATTGAATGTAAATCTCACTAATTTAACACTGTATCCCTAACCTCTCTATTTACTAACTAGAACTTAAGAGAATAAAGGTTGATTTTTGCATCATATCATATTTCTTTAAAATAGAAAATAAAATAATTTCCAATTTGGGAAACATAGTACCTAATACCATTTGATTTTAAATTTTATCACTAAAAGATTCCTTAGTTTACTATTTACTAATCATGTGCTCATAAATTCCAGTATAAGTTAAAAAAAAAATTCATGGATTAACCTCCAAAGCATATCAGAAAAAGTGTTCATACATGAAACAGTTGGAATAATGACAGAAGAGCTAACAACAATACAGAAGTGAGAAACATCTTGAATTTTTAAAAATTACTTTAGTAACAAAATCATGAATAAATTTTATATTGTGGCAGACGGTTTATGTAATAAAACAAAAGGCATCCACTTGAAATAAGAAATACTGTATTATAACTTCTATAGGCACAGAGTTAAGTTTTAAGCAATACAGTTGGCCATCATTAATCATCAGCCGTAGTTTAGAGAGGCTGGCTTACAGACAAGTTGTACCCTACAAATGGCTCTTATTTACCACATAGTTCTTAGGGTAAATGTGTTTACCCTTTGACTGAACAGTCACATGAAGACTGTAATAATGGCTGTGGTGTCGGACTAATCGGTGAAGTTTCTTGCCTTCCTTCATGATTTCTTCAGTCTTTTTTTCAGTAGACAAAACCTTTTCTAAATACTCTGGATCTTCTAAGTACAGCTCATCTCCTGCAAAATAACAAAATTTTATTCCATAAAGTATTTTTTATGCATCATTCCAATATGTTTATTGGTGACATAAAATACTTTTATCTATGTCATGCACTTGGAACTTAGTTAGCTGTTAAATAACTTTACAAGTATATCTCAGTATCCTTCTTTTATTTTTAATATCTCTATTCCCAATGAATAGTTTTCTTGGCTGACAAGTAAGTCTTCACTGTGAGCTATACTTTTATAGTATTTCCTAACTTTCTTTAGTCTATTCAATATTGACATATATATTGGCCTTGAGATCCATACTTCTGGTGTTTCCTTGTGTGCTGTTTTGATAATCTGAAAGTTAATCACCATTTGCATAAAAACTGCCAATCCTTCCCACCATACTAACAAATTATACCATTGTTTTCAGGAACTGAGTATCAGACATGAAGTATCACAAAGTATCATGAAGGTCACAAAGTTCTTGACACAAAACTCTAACCTACGCTTGCCCCAATACAATTGGCCATTAACAAAGTTCCTAATTCAACTAAGCTGGCAGTTTACAAGTTCTTACAGTTCAACATTAAAATGTGAAAAAGTGAGATAATTATGAGAAGAAACTGTCAATGTCTAGGAAATACAGTGATACCTCAGTTTACTTAATTCATTCTATAATTGTGGAAAAGATGACCATGTTCGTGGTCATGTGGCAAAGATGACTGCAGTCATGTTCATCACCTGATGCAGAGTTTGTAAAAAAAACAAAATTTTTCCAAATACTTGTAAATCAAACTGTTCACAAACAAAGCCACTCATGAACCAAAGTAACACTGTATTTTTTACAAAAATGTGTATGTGTTTGCACAATATTCAGAATTTCTGGTAACAATAAATACTACGGATATGTTATAGACTTTGATGGTATTTAACTAATATCCTGTAGGCTATAAAATACTGACTCTAACTCATGTCTCTGTTGAATAATATTGTCAGACAGCCCAGTGCACTGTGCTAATACTAACAACAGCATTGATGCTCCACTGTTATACCTGGAAAAAGCTGGATCATCCCATCAGCAGTTATACAGATGATAGGCAGCCATCTTTGTGCTCTTTCTGATGCATGCTCCAAACAAAATTTGTGCAAGTTAGAAAGCGAGGCAAAGTTTTCAAGTCTTCTTATTTCATAGAACTGTGGGGGTGCCAGCCAAATTTCTTTTGAAAGGAAACTTGCAGTTGCCTCTGATGGAGATGACCACTGTGAAAAACAAAGGTAGGAGTTCCTAAGGTTTATTACATTAACAGGACATGAAATTGTTAAATCACTACTTAAAATCTACCTGAAGATGTGAAATTAATTTGTTAAGGATTGTTTGAACCCCTGAGTTCAGGCCAGTCAGAGCAACGTAAGAAAACTTGGTCTATGAAGAAGGAAAAGAAAAGGAGGGGTACGGAAGGGAAGGGGAAGGGAAAGGAGGAAAGGTAGACTAGAGAAGAAAAATAGACTGATCCTTTGAAGAGCTTGATTACTGGAGCATCAATCCTGAGAACTAGTACACAAACTAGAACAGATCACCAAGGTATGATCTGAAGAGTTATTCAGCATAAAAGGGAGGGAACAATGAGAGTGCAGAGTGGTTCTGGCCACTCACAAAGAAAGACTCTTAAGCATGAACTTGAGAGTAGATTGAGAATAGGGTGTCTATTCATTTCTCCTGTTCTTGCCTTGGTTAGCCACTGAGGTTATGATGGCAGACACAACAAAGGATTTAGCCCTTTGGGGCTCTCAGTTACCAAAATGTATCATTTTGTGTGACACTATTACCATGGGAGTGAAGAATCAGGAGCAGTAAGAACAAGGCCAAGAGGCCTGACTCAGCCTAGTGGGGGGGGGGGGATAACTTTTCAGGATTCCAACTAGACAGTGCTTTCCACTAAATTTAAGTGGCCACACTGCTGCAGCCTGCTCCCTGTGCCCAGCACTCCTTCCATAGACACTCACACAAAAAGAGCTGATTCAATGTATATGGAATAATCCAAAAGGTCCTTCTTTAATTGGTCTTCTAAATACATCCACTTACATTACGTGAAACTGTTTCCCACCCTGTAGGGATCCAATCTGATGTGACTACAGCTATTGTGGTGCTATCTACCACTGTACCTGCCAGGTGACCCTGGCACACACTCTCAACCCTACAGGATAAAATTGAGACAGTCAGCCTAGGGTTTTATGCTAGCTACTGACACATGGACTATTTTGTAATTGATGCTGGCCACAGCCCACTTTTGTCTAGCTTAACACATAAGCCCTTCCTCTTGTCTTGGGGTATAGGCATCTTCTTGTCCTGCTGCTGCCCAAGACATGCATTACAGTTTATAGCTAGATGTTCCCCCAAGAACCTTAGGTGACCACAGGTGGAGCTTTTGGAAGGTGATTAGATTTTAGGGCCTTATAGCTGACTTGCTGTTAGGAGGGAGGGTCCAGTCCAAAGAGGTGGGTTTCTAGGGATGTGGCCTAGAAGATTTACCTCCTTCCACAGCCCCTCCACTTTCTCTCCACTTCCTGTGTACCACATTCCTCTGCCAAGCCATCCCACCTTGAAGCCTGTTGACTATGGGCTGAAATATGAGCCAAAATAAATCTCCCTTAAACTGCAGATGTTAGATATTATGTTTCAGTAAGGAAAAAGTTTCTAAGACATATTTCCTACCAGGAGTGGGGTCATTGTTTTGACTACCGGACAGTGTAGTTCAGAGAAACTGTGAAACTGGTTTGCTGGAGGAGTCTGGAAATATTTAGCAATGTCAGCTGGAGAAAGAGTACTAGAATGCTATAAACTGCACTTAATCTTGGAAGATCAAAATGCTTATAGGAATGTAGATGAGAAAGACCAGGTTTAGGAGATTTCAGTTGAGAACAAAGACTCCATTGGCATTAAGGTTAGAGACCATGTGTATGACACTCTAGCAAAATATTTGTCTACATTTTTTTCATATTTTCAGACTTTGTAACACATTGTGATTAAGGGCAGTGGACCAGCTAATCTGGTGGAGGAAATTTTTCAAGGCAGGTCAATATTCAACCTATGGCACAGTTACTATTTACTGCTCTTAGCTAGTGAGAAACAAAAGCAAAAAGTCCATTTCAGAACTGGGTGTGATGGCACACATGTACAATCCCAGCACTCAGGAGTCTGAGACAGGACTGCCTTGAGTTTGAGACCAACCAAAGCTACAAGAAGTAAGTTCAAGGCCAGCCTGAAATACAGAACAAGACCCTGTCTTTAAAAAAGAAATCCTTTTAAAAAGTTTTCAGAGGCGGAAGCAAGGATGATTGCTTAATGCTTCAAGTTTGAGGCTGGTCTGGGCTATTTAATGAGTTCAAGACAAGCCTACACAGTGAGACCCTGTCTACAAAAACCAAAAGAAATTGGGCATGGTAGCATAAATCTATAATCCCAGCACTTGGGAGGCTAAGGCAAGGCCAGTCTGGGATACATAGTAAGTTCAAGGTCAGCTGGAACTAAATAGTAAGACTGTCTCAAAAAAAAAGAAAAAAGAAAAAGAAAAAGAAAAAGAAAGAAAGAAAAGAAAAGAAAAAGAAACCTCCAGACATTAATAAATGCACTCAGGATAAGATTACCATATCATGCCATTGAGAACCACTGATCTAATACAGATTAAGAACTGTTTATTGTTTAATAACAAATGCTAGAGAGACTAAAGGGCGAAAAGGAACTCTCCTACATTGTTGGCAATATCAATTAGTGCAACCACTACGGAAATCATTTTGGAGGTTTCTCAGAAAACTAAAACTAGAAATTCCGCTTGACCCAGCTATTCACCTTCTAGGTATTTTCCCAAAAGAGTTTTAAGACATCATATTACAGTGATACATGCATAACCCAGCTTATAATAGCACAATTCGTAATAGCTAAATCTTGGATGTGACCTACATGTCCATCAACAGATGAATGGATAAAGAAAGAATAGTTTTTACCTGCTATGGAGTATTACTCTGCCATAAAGATAAATGAGTCATTAGTAGGAATATGGATGTATCTTGAGACCATAATGTTAAGTGAAATGAATTAGACACATAAACTTAAATATATGGTTTCTTACAAGAAACCCAAAATATAAATAAAGAACTAAACAAAAGAGATAATACCAAGTAGAGAGACACTAGATGTTTCCCAACTAGGAAGGAGATCAAGGGATGGAGGAAGGGAAATGGAAGTAAGATAAAAAGGAATTAAATTGTTATGTATATGTAGCAACTCTCTACAAGGAATGTGAAAATTATGTACTATCCATAGGTACTAATAAAAAAATTTTAAAGCAATGTTTATCTGAACTTCCCTTTCATCCATGGGAGTTCAAATTACCTCCATTTCCCATGTAAGAAATCCAGACAGAACTCATGAGACAACTATTTCCAGACATTGAAAAATATAGAATTATAAGCTGAGGAAAGAAAAATGAGTAAGGTAATTCTAACTATTATCTACAATTTCTGCCTAAAAGTAATTCTCAGACTGCAGCACCAGAAGGGAGGACCTAACTGGAGACTAGGATTCTTACTGATCTGAGGAGATAGAAATCAGAATTTAGGAAGCCCATTCAGGTTAGCACTTGGAAAGCAGTGTGCCTGAGAGGAAGATCTACCAGAATATAGCTCCACAAATCTGTATAGAATACTCTTGAATCTTTGCTAAATATTTTTACATGCATGCATAAAGTAAAACCACATATGACTGGAAAAGACAACTTTTCAGGGAAGAATTAGCCAGGAGCTTTAAAGCTAAATTTTCAGAGCTCACCAAAGGCCAAGAATTTTTACAAACACCCCATCAAACAATATACACACATATTCTTTCCAAATGCAAAAGGAGTATTCACCAGGACCTACCATATGCATAGCATAAAGTGAATCTCAAGAAATTTTAAAAAGAGGCAGGTTCAAGCCAGCAAGATAAAAGCAGCAAAGCATCTGAGGTGGAGTTCTGGAGCCCACATCTGCCTTCCTGGCAGCTGGCAGCTGGCAGGTCCAGCCCAGCTTTATTACAAGGTTGTGGATCATTACGGAAATCATAGAAATTTGGGGACCCTAGAAAAGAGCTTGTAAATGTTGGAACTGGATTAGTGAGTGCTCCAGCATGGGGCAATATCATGGAATTATAGATTTAAGTGAATAAAAAGAGAAAGATTGTAGATGTCAGTTTTAATACATCTGGCTGTGGTTCTGCAATTGCCTCTAGCACATTAGCCATGGGATGGGTGAAAGAGAAGACAGTGGAGGAAACCTGGATCATCAAAAACACGGACATCGCCAAGGACTCTGCCTTCTGCCAGTGAAACTGCACTGTTCCATGCTGGCAGAAAATGCAATCAAGACCACCAAGGCTGATTACTGATTAAAGCAAAAACCCAAGAAAGGTGAAGCAGAGGTGTACCCTCAGCAAAGCTTCAGTAGGACTGTTTGCCCACCTTTTTGACATCATCTTTGTAGACAATAGTTAGAATCATGTCCAGATGCTGGGTTTGCTACTAAAAAAAAAAAAACACCTATTGAGATTTCCACAATATTTGCCATTCACACTATGACTAATTTTAGCAAATACAACGTTTAATTGTTCCGAATCCTGTGGCTGCTTCCAGCTCATTTTTTTTCTCCTGTCAGTTGAGCTGACGTCTTAACAAGGTTTGAGAGAGGCACATCTCATGCATGCAGCACGCACAGTCATCACGCTCATGAACCAAAGACTCTCAGCTCACTTTTACTGCCTTAATGCGATGCATATTTGATTCACACATATGGCCTTCAAACTGAAATCTGTGAAAACTTAAATTCTGATGTCAAGAAATGCGTAAATATCTAATTTTCCTAACTCTATTTTGAGGAAGATGGCCAGTAGAATGCCTTGGTCCTATTACTTGGTAGAACCAACTTTTGCACATACCTAAGACAAAATAAGTGGGGATGCAATGAGCGATAAAATGGAGACAGTGTCCCGCAGGGGTAAAGCCGAGGCCTTGGAACTGTGAAGCCAGATAACCAAGAAGCCACGTACACGGACCTAGTCTGCTGTGGTGAGGGCTGGGCGGCTGGGATCCCAAACTTGCTCAGTTATTTCCTAGCTGTACTACTTGTACTACTGCACTTCCCTCCCCGGGCTCAGCCTATCCGTGGTGTCTGCGCCCTATCATGAGGACGCCTCACCTGGTAGCTCACCACCTCGACCAGATCAGTTTGGATGGGAGGCGGTTCACGCAAGCAACACAGGAAGAAATTCACATCGAAGCGGTGGCGTGTCTCACTCATAAAAGGCGTGACCCACCCGCTCCAGTCATGCAGCGCCCAGATGTTGGGCGTGCAGTCCAGGTGCACACACAAGTCTAAGAAATGGCGCGCGTCGCCACGGACGCGGGTGCGCCAGGTAGACACGTCCAGCGGAAGTTCGAGGGCACAGTCGGGTTCAGAAGCAGAACCTTGAGACTCGGGACTCTGCCGGGCGCCCCTGGGCCGCAACAGCAGCACGCCCGACTCCTCGAAAGCCTCCCTGATGGCGCAGATGCGCAGGGCTACGTCATCAGGCAGCGCCGCGGCACGGCCGTCGGCGGCATCGGGCCGCAAGAAGGGTAGTTCCGGGAAGGTTGTTCGCTGGGGCCGCGCTGGGCCCAGGCCAAAGCGGGGAGGCCCGTGGTGCGGCGCAAAGAGGTGCAGCCAGTCGGCCGAGCGGTCGGCCGCCTCCAGGACGCCACCCGGGAAGACGTGCGCGCCTGGCATGAAGGACTGGCGCGCGGAGCGCTGCAAAAGCAGAACTCGGAAGCCCTCCGCGGGCGGCAGGGACGACGCGGCGGCGCCCAGGCGCGTCCATCCCGCCGCCAACACTAAGGTGGCCGCCTGCCGCCAGATCTTCGGATCCGTCCTCAGGGAACCGCTCATGACGACCGGCAGAGCGCAGCTTTCGGGCACGCCAAAAGCACCCAGACAGATTGTCTAAGGTTACAGCGACCCAACCACTTCCGGGACTTGAGGGCGAGCCCAGCGGTCTTCATTTATACCGTGGCTTTCTTGTAGGAGGGGCGTGACATCCGAGAGCGGCCACACCCTGGAGTGCGCTCACAGGTCCAAGGCACTGAACTGTGCGAGACTCCCGCGGTGATGGTCATTCACCGCTGCCTGAAAGGGGGACAATGTCATCCCTACTCAAGAAGCTTCCACTGCGAGCCGAATACCTAAGGGACTTGTAAAATGTTTTGGGAGACATTCAATCCTGACCCAGAAACAGGAATGTCTTTTCAGCTTGTTTAGTGGCCAGAAGAGCCCCCACCTCCAAGACTAGAACTATCTTTTGAAAAAAAGCCTGTTTAAATTTGAGTGTTTTCTTTTACAGTTCCTTTTTGAGTCACCAACAGCACCTCCCACAATTCCTATAACTATCGATTGTACTTCCTTATGCTTTTGGGTGAGTTAGGCTATACTCCTGCTGAGCTTTTTCCCCCTCAGGAGAATCCACAGACAGTACTGTCACTATTTAAATTGCTACTTGTTACTATTGTTTCGAAAGATGCAAATACTTGTGTACTCACTGAGTTCCCCTAAGCAGAAAATGGAGCCATTTGTTGAGAAAAGCACAGGTAGTAGTCAAGAACGGACATATTTTCTACAGAGATCTGCTAGGTTCCATTCAATTTGATGCCCACAATAATAATTTGGCTAAACGTTTTTGCCAACCTCTAACTGAGCTTATCTTTGAGAACAGAGTATTTCTGTGCTGACCAGATTAGTTGACACCAGCTAGAGCCAAGATGACCGCCTAAACTTCTAACAGTCCTCAAACCCCATTATAATCCCACTTGCATGCTAAGTAACTGAAGCCTTAGCATCCTAATAGTTGACAATTCCTGTGACCATGACCAGAAAGCTATTTCTTTATTAGCCAGGTCCTCCCCTTCATTTCTTGTATCATGTATGTGTGACTGCCCCATTCCCAATGGGTTGAGAAGTTGATTTCAACCATAGACTCTTGCTTCTCCAGTCTCTGGAGTACATAAACTTGTGCTTTGATTAGCACCTTCTGTTTCACTCTCTGGCTTAATGATACTGAACTGAAAAACATCCACCTTTATGGAAGGAACCAGAGAAGTTTTCTAAGAAGGTCACAGAATACAAGTTGGAGATACGTTGTGATTTATCTTTAGTTACGCCCCAAGAACCTCATGTGCTCATAGTTGGGGCTTTTGGAAGGTGATTGGATTATGGTGGCTTATAGCTGATTTACTATTAGGAGGTGAGGCCTAGTAAGCAGCCCTCAAAGGATTTGTCTCCCTTCCCTACTTCTTTCATTCTCTCTGCTCACCACCACCACCATGCTGTATGCAACTTCTCCTCTGCCATGCCTTCTGCCATGGCATTCTGTCGTGGAGCCAGTCAACTATGGACTAAAACCTCTACAAACTGTGAGCTAAAATAAACATTTCTTTCTTTAAGATGTGGGTATTGGGCATTGCATCTCAGCAATTAGAAAAGTGACCAAGATAAGAACCCTGCCTGATCTGTTGCTCTCAGCTCTGAAACAGAACTCTCTTAACTGAAATAATCATTTCTGAGTCTACTATAGAGTCCAGGATAGTACTAGGGAACATTTATTTATTTATTTATTTATTTATTGATACTGAAGATCACACTTGGGTTGCTGTACCACTTCACCACATCACCAGTCATTTATTTATTTAATTTTGAGATAGGATCTTGCTAAATTATACAGGTGAACTTGAATTTGCAATCCTCCTGTCTCATCCTCCCATGGTACTAGGATTATAGGTGTAAGCCAAAATGCCTAGCTGGGGAGTGCCCTACCTTCTGAATGATTCAGGTACTAGGACCTAGAGGAACTCAAGAAAAGTAGTTGATGTTTTCATTAGACAGGGTCCATGCAGATCCCTCAGTTACAGTGGGGTGGATTTAACAGAATGCCACACCATTGTGTATGATGAGCAATTGCAAAGTGTATCTCCAGTAGTAAAGATACCCACCTGCACTTACAAAAGATCACTGCAAGATATTCTCAAGGAGGTCTGTGCAGACAAAAATGTAGCACTAACAGAAAAAGTTTCAGGGTGACAGCGCACTGATACAGCAGACTTTCAGGATGTTCAGGCCTGCCCACAGGACTCCTCATTGGGTTTCTAGTTTAAGATTGACAGGAATTATTGATGGGCTGCTGAGTCATCTCAGGTGAAATGATTTACAGAGTAGTCAGAAAGTTGAATTGTTGCAATGCTAAATACTTGGTTAAATAAATGAAGATATGGATAACTGTATGTATGTCTAAGTGTATAGCATTGACAACCATATTACTAAGCTTTTGTTGGATAGTTGAACAGAACTGTTTGCAGTCTGTTTGAATTCCGACTTTCTATGTTCCACTTTTGTCTCGTGAACAACTATTTGTAAAAGGACAGTATGTAAACATTAACTAGTGATTTCTTACTGTTTATTTTTTCTCTGAATGTATGTATTATTTCTACCCATTTTCTGTTTTATTTAGTCTTTCTTTAAATAAAATTTTTTTTAAAAGTAAATACTTGGTTAAATATGCAGAGCAGAGGAAAGGAAGGAGTTAGGGTTCTATATTGGGAGACTATACTAACATTCTTTCAATTGTGGAATAATAATAGTCCTAGGAGTAAAATTTACCAAGTACTTACTGTGTGTAAGGCACGGGAGCTTTGTAAGTATTCATTTTCTAGCACTTACAAAACCCCAAAAGGTAGACTATTATCATCACTTTATAGAAGACTAGCTGTGTATAAATAGCTAGAAGGGACACACTTTTCACTATAAAATAGCACTGTGATTTTGTGGATATACATACTTGTTTTACTTTATTTTTAAATTTCTTTTGGTTTTTTTAGTAATGGGGATTGAATCTGGGGCCTTCATGCTGAGTTATAACACCACCTTTTTTTCCCCATTTTTGAGGCAAGATCTCACTGAATCACTAAGCTGCATTGGTTGGGCTCGAACTTCTGATCCTCTGCCTCAGTCTCCCAGAGTGCTGAGGTTACAGGGCTATGGCACACCAAGCCTGGCTGCAAGTTGCTTTTAAAACATTTAAACTAGGCCTGGTGGTATAGGCCTGTGGTGCTAAGGACTCTGGTAGGTTGAAGAAGGAGAATCAAAAGTTTAAGTCTAGCCTGGGCAACTTAACAAATTAGGGAGACCCTGTCTCAAAAATAAAAAATAAAAATTGGGCTGATGATGTGGCTCAGTGTGAAGATCCTAGATTCAATCCCTGTGTCACGTCTGGGTGAGCAGCACTGCTCCACTGAGAGGAATAGCTAACCAGGATTGTGAACTTGGCACCAGTAAAGAATTAATGGGATAGAGTTAAAGAAAGAAAGAAACTTTTTTGTAAGGAGGAAAAAGGCAGAAAACAGAAAATTGTCCTGAAAAGGAAGCAGGGGGTCTAGATGGATTTCCCCTGGGTCCTTTGTCTCCAGCTTCTTATATCAGGTTTGGGGAACCTTTCTTCTCTGGAACTTGTCCAGATCTTAGCTATGTTGACTCTTCCTTAGAACCTGTAATGTGCCAGCATGCCTTCCTGTTCCTGAAGGAGCACAGCTTGCTATTTTTCTCGGTTTTGTGCTGACAGATATCAATAGGCCTTTGTCCTCACTAACTGATCTCCTATATCTCCCCCTTTCTGCAATAGCAGCAACAGAATAGCAATTCTGCTGTTCATCCCTGGGGGAAGTATGTAGATATAGTCATTCTTCTATCCTGAGATCTAGTGTTTAATGACTATGCCTCCCTTCACAGCTGCAATCTGTCAGTACTGGATCCTTCCAAGGATCCCTGTCTGACTGCCTAGCATTGTCTGACTACCTGTAATATAACTATCTTAACTGTAACTTCTATGGAGAAGTACCACTAAGGGGACAAAGGATGAAGACTGTTCTGGATACTTCTGACTGAAGAGGGGCAAAGTTGTGATCAGCAATCAGAAATTCTCCACAGTGGTCTATTTAAAAGAATTTGGTGTTCTTGTTTCAGGCAGGTGTTAACGATGGGCATGTCTTTGTGCTTCCTGAGTGGTTTTCTTCAGTAATCATCTGGGAGACATCTTTCATTGGTGAGGAGAGCAGAATAAGGTTCCACCATGAGTGTGTCATGGGGAGGACTTTTGTATGGTTTCAAGCTCCTAGAGGACACTCACACTGTCCATTTCCTGCAATGACACAATCAAACCCCCACACTCATGCCAACAATGTAATCAGTCCCTCCCAATTTCCTGTCTCTAAGAGACACAAAACAATTGTGCTTTCTCTCTTTCCCTATGCTCTTGTACTTTTGACAAATGTAATTCCACCAGGGTGCTACCTATATCACCAACAGGATTCAAAAAATTAAGTGTAAATGTTGCAAATCAAGGCAAGCCTATGGTTTATTATGACTTACTATCTGTACCCACCCACCCACCTACACACACACACTTTTAAGAATAGGAAAATTTGGGCTGGGTGTACAGATCAATTGCAAAGTACCTGCTTGGCAAGCACAAGATCATGAGTTTGATCACTGGTACAAAAAAAAAAAGCATAGCAGGAAAATATATTGGAGAAAAGGAATGGGGAATAGGAATAGCTTCTGACAGACAGCAGAGGTCCCAAATGATCTGGACTGCTAATGAGCAAACTTCTCATTATAGAGCAAAATCACTGAGGTGGGTAAAATATGGGTCAAAATTATGATCAACCAATAAGATTATAAGTGTAGTCACTTAAGTAGTATTGACTCCAATGGCAGCAAGGGCATATGGGTGACATCATTAATGTTGCTTCATAATCTATAGTTTTGTCTTTAGTATTAGTCTTAGTGGTCTTAATGAATGGAAGAGGATAGCCTACCCCTAATGAGATAATGATAAATCTCAAAGGGATGATACCAATAATCTCAAGCTTCTGTTTATCCCTTAGGGAAGTATACAAATCTAGTTGCTGAGACTTTATCTTTTTCAAATGTGCCTCCAGCCACAGTCTTGAAGCATTCCCATTCTCTGTACTGACTCCTTTCAGGGCCTGGAACTGTCTGACTGCCTACAATATTTCCCCCTAACTTAGCTATCTATAATGTTCCCCTCTCTGAAGAGGTATCCCTAACTGTGGTTAGGAGAGAAGGGGCATGGTTCAAGCTGAGAAGGGTCAGTGTAGGGGAAACCACAATGAGAGTCCTTCTCTAGAGGATTAATCTAATGGGCTTTGGCTAGAAGTCCTGTTGAAG